TGCTCAACGATGGAAGTTACTCAAAAATAAAAAAATGACCCTACTAATAGCCTAGCGATAAAAACCAACAAGATCATCACAAGTTCGACCTCCCTAATCGACCCAACTAAACGTCCCTCCCTAAAACCTTCTGCTGCAAGACCCCCTAGATTCTGTGGTCTTCCCATGATTCATAAAGAAGGCACCCCACTTCGACCCATCGTATCCACGATCAACTCCCCTACCTATAGACTAGCCCGTTTTCTGTCAGATACCTTGCTGCCTTTCACTGGCAAGACCACCTCAGCAGTACTTAACTCAGCCCAATTGGTCTCTATGGTCAAAGACGTTGTACTGTCCCCTGACGATATCCTTGTCAGCTTCGATGTGGTCTCTTTGTTCACCAAGGTCCCAGTACCTGACACCATTGAAATAATTGAAAATTTAGTCCAACATGGACTAGACCCGACACACCTGCACTGGTTAGGCACTGCCTCAACAATACCTACTTTACTTGGAATGGCTCCTTCTACAAACAAAATGAGGGTACCCCCATGGGATCCCCCTTATCACCAGTGATAGCCAATATTTTCATGGAGAAATTTGAATCAGACGCCATCCAGACTTCCACCCTCAGACCTTCTCTGTGGAAGAGATATGTGGATGACACTTTGGAGAAAGATGGCAAGCTACCATTCTTAGATGTTCTGTTTGAGAGGAGACCTGATGGCTCATTGGGGCATTCTGTCTACAGGAAACCCACCCACACAGATTCCTACTTGAAACCTGATTCCCACCACCACCCAGCCCAAAAGAATTCTCTCATCAAAACTTTATACCATAGGGCTCATTGCATTTCGGACCAACACCACCTGACCAGTGAATTAAAACACGTACACCTGGCCCTCAAAAGGAATGGTTAGTCTGACCGTACCATCCGCCAAGCTGTCTCTCCCTCCATACAGAAACAACCACTTGATACTCCGGTCAAAACCATCACACTTCCATATATAGCAGGCGTTACTAAAAAGATTTCCAAAATTCTAAACAAACACAAGATCCAGGTCCGGTTCAATACAGTACACAAAATTCGTGATCTGATCCCATCCGTGAAGGATGTCATTCCTGATTTACAGTACCCCGGGGTTTACAAATTGAGTTGTACCTGCGGTGATTGCTATATCGGTGAGACAAAGCGACATGCCTCTGACCGAATTCGCGAGCACAAATCAGATTTGAAACACGGTAAAACGAATTCTTCTGCCGTGGCTGATCACTGTTACAACGCTGTGGGGGATCACAATATAATTTTCTCCGATACCAAGGTTCTTTGCAAACCCACGGGCTTTTATCAGAGATTTGTTCATGAAGCAATTCAGATCTACAAACACAGACACAATTTCAACCGAGAGGATGGTTTCAAATTAAGCAACCATTGGAAAGATTTTCTAAATCGAACTAAACATTAAACTAATTTCAATGGTACAGTATACTTTTTCAAATAGTGGTACACCAAACTTTCGCAGCTCTTATAAATTCCCTTCTCACACCATCAATAGGTAAACTCCCCCCCCCCCCCCGCGCCAAACGGCAAGTCCACCGGCACGTACACCACCTCTTTCCGAAAATCCGCCAATCAAATGCTAATTTTTATGCTAATTTCTTTGTCAGAACACCTTGTTTGCTCGCACACAGTTTAAAGGTCCGCTGTCTGAGCGTGGTTGTGTTTCGCTAAATTCTCCTGTTTGATGAGTACTAGGTGCCTCGGTGAATGTATATGCTCTAACTTTAACATAGCTATTTCTGTGACCAGTTACAAGCTAATCACTCAGCTATTTCAATGCTAAATTCCATGCAAATTCCTTTGTCAAGGGGTACCTCTGCGGATGTGTATACTTTAACTTAGCTATTTCAATGAGCCATTTCAATGCTAAATTATATGCTAATTCCTTTGTCAAGGCGCTTGGTGTTTTTCTTCTCACACAGCTTAAAGGTCGTGATCTAAGCGTGGCTTCTTCCACTCCAGCGCTGTCCTCCAGACAGTCTCGTCCCTTCACCTGATGAAGGCCGCTTGTGTTGTGGCCGAAACGTCGTGATTTTTTGTTATTTTATTTTCAACTACGTGACTTTACCCAATAGAACCAAGAGTATGGATCCTAGCAGTCACGAAAGCTTTAAATCTAGAATGCATTTAATAACCCAACTTGTTTCTGTGATACTGTGCAAGCCCAGAGTTAATAAATACTCGTCAGGGCGCTTTGTCCGAGCTGTGTGTGTGTGGCGCTGACCCCTGGTGACCAGCACAGAGGGCACGGCACGGAGCCACAGCAATTCCACCACAGCTGTTGACGACCACGCCTTGTTCAACACCACACACACGTGACTTCCTCCTCATGCACCTAGCCTGGCACAGCAGTACAACACACACACGTCACCTGCTGGGTCTGTCACGTGACTTCATGCAACTAGCCTGGCACAGCAGTACAACACACGGCACCTGCTGGGTCTGTCTCTGTCACCTCCTGGTGCACCTAGCCTGGCACAGCAGTACAACACACACGCCACCTGCTGGGTCTGTCACGTGACTTCCTCGTGCACCTAGCCTGGCACAGCAGTACAACCCACGTCACCTGCTGGGTCTGTCTCTGTGACCTCATGCACCTAGCCTGGCACAGCAGTACAACACATGGCACCTGCTGGGTCTGTCTCTGTGACCTCATGCACCTAGCCTGGCACAGCAGTACAACCCATGGCACCTGCTGGGTCTGTCTCTGTGACCTCATGCACCTCGCCTGGCACAGCAGTACAACCCATGACACCTGCTGGGTCTGTCTCTGTGACCTCCTCATGCACCTAGCCTGGCACAGCACTACAACCCACGGCACCTGCTGGGTCTGTCTCAGTGACCTCATACACCTAGCCTGGCACAGCAGTACAACCCATGGCACCTGCTGGGTCTGTATCTGTGACCTCATGCACCTAGCCTGGCACAGCAGTACAACCCCGGCACCTGCTGGGTCTGTCTCAGTGACCTCATGCATCTAGGCTGGCTGATTTTAACGACACAACATTTATATATTTACGCCATCTAAACCAACAAAACCTCTATTACGGACTCAATCACTCACTCGGCACTCACTCACTCAGCCAGTCACTCACTCAGCCAGTCACTCACTCAGCCAGTCACCCACTCAGCCAGTGACTCACTCAGCCAGTGACTCACTCAGCCAGTCACTCACTCAGCCAGTCACTCACTCACTCAGCCAGTCACCCACTCAGCCAGTCACTCACTCACTCAGCCAGTGACTCACTCAGCCAGTCACTCACTCACTCAGCCAGTCACTTAGCCAGTCACTCTGCCAGTCACTCACTCAGCCACTCACTCACTCAGCCAATCACTCACTCACTCAACCACTCACTCACTCACTCAGCCAGTCACTCACTCAGCCAGTCACTCACTCACTCAGCCAGTGACTCACTCACTCAGCCAGTGACTCACTCAGGAGCTCAGCTGCTTACTCAGTCGCTTGCTCACGAAATTACTCAATCACTGAGCCAGTTTGACAGTAAACTTTATGTTTATATATCCAACAACACAGCACGAAATAACATCATCGTCTGGCTAATCAGGACCTCCGTCAGCCTACCCCACACCACACAATGGTACCCACATGCTTACCCCTCCACCGTGGTGGTGGTGGTGCTGGAATTGGTGGTGGTGGTGCTAGCATTGGTGGTGTTGGATCGTGGTGGTGTTGGTGGTGTCGTTCAGTGGGTGTTAGCGGTGGTGGTGTTGGTGGTGGTGTCGTTCAGTGGGTGTTAGCGGTGGTGGTGTTGGTGGTGGTGTCGTTCAGTGGGTGTTAGCGGTGGTGGTGTTGGTGGTGGTGTCGTTCAGTGGGTGTTAGCGGTGGTGGTGTTGGTGGTGGTGTCGTTCAGTGGGTGTTAGCGGTGGTGGTGTTGGTGGTGGTGTCGTTCAGTGGGTGTTAGCGGTGTTGGTGGTGGTGTCGTTCAGTGGGTGTTAGCGGTGGTGGTGGTGGTGTCGTTCAGTGGGTGTTAGCGGTGGTGGTGGTGTTTATGGTGGTGTTGGTGGTGGTGTCGTTCAGTGGGTGTTAGCGGTGGTGGTGGTGTTGGTGGTGTCGTTCAGTGGGTGTTAGCGGTGGTGGTGTCGTTCAGTGGGTGTTAGCGGTGGTGTTGGTGGTGGTGTTGGTGGTGGTGTCGTTCAATGGGTGTTAGCGGTGGTGGTGGTGTTGGTGGTGTCGTTCAGTGGGTGTTAGCGGTGGTGGTGGTGGTGTCGTTCAGTGGGTGTTAGCGGTGGTGGTGGTGTTGGTGGTGGTGTCGTTCAGTGGGTGTTAGCGGTGGTGGTGTTGGTGGTGGTGTCGTTCAGTGGGGGTTAGCGGTGGTGGTGGTGTTGGTGGTGGTGTCGTTCAGTGTGTGTTAGCGGTGGTGGTGGTGTTGGTGGTGGTGTCGTTCAGTGGGTGTTAGCGGTGGTGGTGGTGTTGGTGGTCGTGTCCTTCAGTGGGTGTTAGCGGTGGTGGTGGTGGTGTCGTTCAGTGGGTGTTAGCGGTGGTGGTGGTGGTGGTGTCGTTCAGTGGGTGTTAGCGGTGGTGGTGGTGTTGGTGGTCGTGTCCTTCAGTGGGTGTTAGCGGTGGTGGTGGTGGTGTCGTTCAGTGGGTGTTAGCGGTGGTGGTGGTGGTGTCGTTCAGTGGGTGTTAGCGGTGTTAGCGGTGGTGGTGTTGGTGGTGGTGTCGTTCAGTGTGTGTTAGCGGTGGTAGTGGTGGTGGTGGTGTCGTTCAGTGGGTGTTAGCGGTGGTGTTGGTGGTGGTGTCGTTCAGTGGGTGTTAGTGGTGGTGGTGTTGGTGGCGGTGTCGCTCAGTGGGTGTTAGCGGTGGTGGTGTTGGTGTCGTTCAGTGGATGTTAGCGGTGGTAGTGGTGGTGGCGGCGTCGTTCAGTGGGTGTTAGTGGTGTTGGTGGTGGTGTCGTTCAGTGGGTGTTAGCGGTGGTGGTGTTGGTGGTGGTGTTGTTCAGTGGGTGTTAGCGGTGGCGTCAGCGATGTGCTCCAGCTCGTCGAGGTACCGCTGTCTCAGCGACCCCAGGTACGTGGCCAGGCTGGCTCCGTCCAGCCGCGAGTGTCGCGCCGCCTGGCCCAGCCGCGTCGCGAGGCGGTGGACGGCCGCTCGGCGCAGCACGGGCGCGGAGTCGGCCTGACGCTCCATCTGGGGGGGGTCGCGGAGGGGTCACGGGGGGGGGGGTCACGGGCGGGTCGCGGGGGGGTCGCGGCGGGGGTGTCGGCGGGGGTCAGCGTTGTTACCCAGCTCTTGCCGCCGATCCGAGCCAGCAGCCCCGTGGCGTCGCGCAGCAGGGAGGGCGGCAGCGATGACAGCGTGGCCATCTCCAGACCTGGACGCGGGGCACGCGGAGGGGGAGGGGGAGGGGGGGTGGGAGGGGGAGGTGGCCGTGAGACGCCGACCGCGTCGCGGAAGGCGACGGCTTCTTCTTCACGATGTTTGAGGCGCCGGCGGCCTCGGCAGGGCCGTCCCCACTTTGTGCCGCGATGAGTTTTTCCGGGCCGAGGGGTTTCCCCCCTCCCACTACCGGGACCTCGCGGAAATGCTCGGCAAATCTGAAAACCTGTTCCCTGGGGGTCGGAGATCGGGTCACCGTTCTTTCCCCCAATGATGGTAATTGGTTGTGGCGCCGCAGGTTACTTTCTTGATGGGAGTTAAAGAGCGATTTGTGATCGCGGGCCACTGATGCAGACTCCATCTCCTCGGCAACCCGCGACCGCCACCCATCCTTGCGGCGCCTCGCGGCTCTCCGAACCTCCGAGCGAGGGCTGCGGTAAGCCTCCTCATTCTCCGCCGTGGGATTCTGTAGCCGATGATAGTGGGCCTGTCGCCATCCTGAACACCTCCTCTGTCAGCCAGGGTCTCTGGGGAGGTCTGGACCGCGTACCCAAAGCAGCCATTTCAGCTGCATGAGTCACAGTCCTAAACCTCGCCCATTTACCCTCGACATCAGGAGGAGTGGGGGACGATGCCAATCCCAGCCGGCAGAGCATGCCACTAAGGGTTTGAATGGGGTCCTGGATGTACACCCACCACCGGAGTGGAAGAATTGCAGGTGCATCTTACAGATTACAAGTCGATGGTCAGAGGGCAGATCAGCTCCACGGTAGGTCCTGGTGTCAGGGACATGGGCTCGCATCCGCTGGTCCGTCACTATGTAGTCCAGCAGATGTTCTTGCTTGGACCCGGCATGCATCCATGATGTTGTGTGGATGCACCGATGCCGGAACAACGTGTTGGTATTTACAAGCCCATGGGCTGCACAAAAATGTAGCAGCCTCCTGCCGTTGTTATTGAGCTGGTCTGGCCCATTCCTTCCAATCACTCCAGACCAGGTGCATCATGACCAACTCGGGCATTCACCCAACAAGATGACTATCCCGAGGGGCCACTTTAGCTCGCACCTGTGACAGGAGGTCATAGAAGGCATCCGACTCATCGGCCTTGCCTGGATCCCTCCACGGATGTTCGTCTTCGGTGGGGGCATAAGTAACCACGACCACCACTCCTCACATCCGGTTGTTGGGAAGGCGAGCCCAAAGTAGCCTGGGGCTTACAGCTTCCCACACCTCACCACCACGCTCCCACGCCCCCTTCATTCTTTTGTTTAGAAGAAGAGCCACTCCCTGTTGTTTGGCAGTCTCCTGCCGTGAGAAGAGGACTGTCCACCCCTCATGGTGGTAGGAGCCAGAGCCGGTCCACCGGACCTCCTGAATACCACAGAGATCCAGGCGGTACCGGTCCAGCTCCCGACAGAGGAGTGGCAGCCTCTCCTCCGCAGTGAGCGTTCGAACATTCCACGTGGCCACCCGTAGTGGTTTTTCGTTGTTTCTGGAGGAGCCCCGAGGGTAGATATTCAGTCTCCTGGCTCTGCCAAATGGGGTTTGGTCAGGAGACGTCATAGACGCCTGTCCCCCCGGGGCCTCCGGCACAAGCTTATTAGTTACATATTTCGGTTTAACTCGTGGTTTCGTGGTAATTAATTGAAGGTGGAAGGGTTACCAGCCCCTCGCACCTGTCCAGAGCCCCCGTTTAGCCCCTGTGGTAGACACATTTGCCATGAGGGGAGGAGCCAATCAAAATTGGATCTCCCCCCAAAGCACTGTCCACGACAGAGTTGCCTGTCCGGCACCGCGAGGAGGTAGGGGGTTGTTTTGCCGGACCACACACACACACATGTACACACACACACACACGTACACACACACACACGTACACAACAACAACAACAACAACCGCCATTCGCCACTAAGTGGCGGTGACGTCACCACGACGCTTGTGCCAGGCTATGTGCACCGTGAGGCCACGTGAAGTGTCGAACGCCCGCTGGCAGGAGGTCACTGGGCAGACCCAGGTGCCACGGGTCAACTGACTGAGATGACTGGCTGATGCACCACCTGTGCCCCCTACTGTGCCAACCTGCTGTGCTTTAGCCACCCGGCGCTCCGCTCGTTGTTCTGAGCATCGCTCCTCCGCCCTCCGTTGTTGTTGGAGGGCGACTGCCTCCAACTGCCCAGTAGCATCCTTCATGAGCCTCCTCCACAGAGGCCGATCTTGACACCGCTGGTACCAGTCATCGGCAAGTCCACTCAGCTCCACGTCCTCCTGTACCACATCACTCCATCTCTTCTCTAGCCCGTGCCGCGCCTGCTTAGCCCCCTCAATCCGGCCAAACAAAAGCTGTTTCGGCATGCGGGCTACATGACCCAGCCATCGCAGCCTTGCCTGCCGGAGGAGCTCACCGATGGGACCCTGCCCAGATCTTTCAAGGATTTGTGAGCTCCTCACACAATCCAGTCTGGTTAAACCCAGGATGGATCGTAGGCAGGCCAGCCTAAATGTTTCTAACCGGCGAAGATGTTCCACTAGGGGGGTCCACGTTTCGCAAGCGTAGAGAAGGGAGGGAATGACCGTGGCCGAGAAGACCTGAAGCTTAGTGCGGAGCGACAGACCAGGTAGCTTCCACACAGCGTTACGCAACCGATGAAAAGATATTGCCGCTCGACTGATTCGGAGTGAGACCTCTGCTGTTAAACTGGAGCCAGTCATAAGCACACTGCCCAGGTATGGGAAACTCTCCACTCTCTCCACAACTGCCCCATCACCGATTGGGAGTTGTGGGGGTGTAGTGTCCGATGGTACAAAATACCCAGGCAGGTGCTTAGTTTTGGTGGGGCTGATGGTAAGGCCCCACCTCTTAGTGGCACGCTCCAGTCTCAGCAGCAGCGTCTCCAACTCCTCCTCTGACTGAGCAGCTATTACCAAATCATCAGCATACATAACGTGGTTGAGCAATAGGGAGCCATCCCTTGACCGCACCCGGGCATCGATTAGCCTCCCATTATATCTGTACCATATGGAGATTCCCCCGGTACAGCTATTGAAGGCTTCACGAACTACGTGGTCAAAATAGATGTTAAATAATGTGGGAGCCAGAGGACATCCCTGTCGCACCCCAAGGTGTACAGGGAATGGCTCTGACTCCCAGCCACGTAGTTTTACCCGGGCCCGCTCACCATCATGAAGGTCCTTAATGATCGTGAGCAGAGGGTCAGGTACTCCAAAAGCACGAAGAACACACACACGTACACATACACACACGTACACACACACACGCGTAGTACCGTAGTGCGTGTCCGGCGTGTGCCCCTGCACCAGCTTGTACGTGCACGTCACACGTGGCACCGTCCGCGAGTCGTCGGCACCAGCGGCTTTACCGTCACGACGGCCGGCCCAGGGCAGCTGCTGCTGCTGCTGCTGCTGATTGCGCGACTCCACCAGGAAGTGGCTGTTGGAGACGTTGGGGTAGAGGGTAGAGAGGTGGCTCAGCTCCAGGTGGTGGGTGGCGAAGATGGTGAACGTCTGGGGGGGGGGGGGGGGCGACACACAGGGGTGGTGAGGGTGGTGAGGGTGGTGAGTGTGAGTGGTGAGTGTGAGTGGTGAGTGTGAGTGGTCACCACCTTGCGCTGCAGGAGACACTCACAGACCGAGTGACAGATCCCCAGGGCCTCGTGGACCCCGGTGCCCCTCCCGAGCTCGTCGATGATCACCAGAGAGCGGTCGGTGGCTGTGCGAACTATGTAGTTCACCTGGGGTCATGGGGGTCACCGGGGGTCACCCACCCACTCACCCACACACACACCCACCCACTCACCAACTCACTCACTCACCAACTCACTCACTCACCAACCCACTCACTCACCCACCCACTCACCCACCCACTCACACACCCACACACCCACCCACTCACCAACTCACTCACTCACCCACCCACTCACACACCCACTCACCAACCCACTCACCCACCTACCCAACCACTCACCCACCCACTCACCCACCCAACCACTCACCCACCCACTCACTCACCCACCCACTCACCCACCCACTCACCCACCCAACCACTCACCCACCCACTCACTCACCCACCCACCCACTCACCCACCCACTCACCCACCCAAACCACTCACCCACTCACTCACTCACCCACCCACTCACCCACCCACTCACCCACCCAACCACTCACCCACCCACTCACTCACCCACCCACCCACTCACCCACCCTCTCACTCAACCACCCACTCACCCACTCACTCACCCACCCAACCACTCACCCACCCACCCACTCACCCACCCACTCACACACCCACTCACCAACACACTCACCCACCTACCCAACCACTCACCCACCCACTCACCCACCCAACCACTCACCCACCCACTCACCCACCCACTCACTCACACACCCACTCACCCACTCAATCACACACCCACCCACCCACTCACCCACCCACTCACACACCAGCCCACCCACCCACTCACCCACCCTCTCACTCACCCACCCACTCACCCACCCACTCACACACCCACTAACCCACCCACTCACCCACCCACTCACCAACCCACTCACCCACCTACCCAACCACTCACCCACCCACTCACCCACCCAACCACTCACCCACCCACTCACTCACTCACCCACCCACTCACACACCCACCCACCCACTCACCCACCCTCTCACTCAACCACCCACTCACTCTCTCACACACCCAACCAACCACTCACCCACCCACTCACACACCCACCCACTCACCCACCCAACCACTCACCCACCCACTCACTCACCCACCCACTCACACACCCACCCACCCACTCACCCACCCTCTCACTCAACCACCCACTCACTCTCTCACACACCCAACCAACCACTCACCCACCCACTCACACACCCACCCACTCACACACCCAACCAACCACTCACCCACCCACTCACCCACCCACCCACCCACTCACCCACCCACCCTCTCACTCCCCACCCACCTCTCTCATCTCGATGGTGAAGGTGGAGGAGAGTGGCTGGATGTCGTCGTCCACACCGATGCGAGTGAAGATCTGATCAGCGATCCTCACGCAGGCAAAGTCGGCTGGCACGAAGCAACCTGAAGCAGTGGTAGCACCCAAACACTCACTCACTTACTTACTCACCTACTCACTCACTCAAACACTCACTCACTCACTTACTCACCTACTCACTCACTCAAACACTCACTTACTTACTTACTCACCTACTCACTCACTCACTCAAACACTCACTCACTTACTTACTCACCTACTCACTCAATCACTCAAACACTCACTCACTCACTTACTCACCTACTCACTCACTCAAACACTCACTCACTTACTTACTCACCTACTCACTCACCAACTCACTCACTCACTCACCCACCCACTCACTCACCAACTCACCCACTCACTCACCAACCAACTCACTCACCAACTCACCCACCCACTCACCAACTCACTCACTCACTCACCCACCCACTCACTCACTCACCAACTCACCCCCCCACCCACTCACCGATCTGTGCCATCACCTGGCAGAGTGCCACCTGTCTCAGCAGCGTGGACTTGCCGCTGTTGTTGGGCCCCGTGACAATGAGGAAGTTGGAGGCGTCCGACAGGAAGACGTCGTTAGGCACCAGCGGCCAGCCCAGCACCCGCTCCAGGATGGGGTGGCGAGCCCCTTTGAGGGCCAGCGTGTCAGAGAATTCCGGACGGACTGCAGCTCACCACAGACAGTGGGGGGGAGGTCACGGGAGGTCACGGGGGTGAAGGTCATGGGGGTGGAGGTCAAGGGGGGGAGGTCACGGGGGGGAGGTCATGGGGGGGAGGAGTCAAGGGGGGAGGTCGCGGGGTAGAGGTCACAGGGCGGAGGTCACGGGGGCGGAGGTCATGGTGGCGGAGGTCACATGGGGAGGTCACAGGGGTGAAGGTCACGGGGGCGGAGGTCACGGGGGCGGAGGTCACGGGGGGAGGTCACGGGGGGTGAAGGCCACTCACTCACTCACTCATCCACTCACCCACTCACTCACTCCCTCACTCACTCACCCACCCACTCACTCACCCACCCACCCACTCACTCACTCCCTCACTCACCCACTCACCCACTCACTCACTCACTCACCCACCCACCCACTCACTCACTCCCTCACTCACCCACTTACCCACTCACTCACCCACCCACCCACCCACTCACTCACTCACCCACCCACCCACTCACTCACTCACCCACCCACCCACTCACTCACTCACTCACCCACCCACCTACTCACCCACTCACCCACTCACTCACCCACCGACTCACTCACCCACCCATCCACTCACCCACTCACTCACCCACTCACTCACCCACCCACCCACCGCGTACCGGACTTGGTGAGCGTGGTGCGGTGAGCAAATGCCAGCAGCATGTCCACCATGGACACTGCGTCAGCAAGCTTGTAGAGACACACAATGTCCTCCCGGATCTCCGCAAACAGCTTGGACAACACCCTGGGCACGGAGACAGAGCGGGGGTCACCCTCCCCTCCCCAAAGGGTGTTGTGTAAAGAGTAGTGTACAGTAGTGTATAGTGTGCATAGTGTAGTGTACAGTAGAGTATAGTGTAGTGTATAGTGTAGTGCATAGTGTAGTGTAGTAGTGTACAGTAGTGTATAGTGTAGTGTATAGTGTAATGTATAGTGTAGTGTAGTAGTGTACAGTACTGTATAGTGTAGTGTATAGTAGTATAGTGTAGTGTATAGTGTAGTGTATACTGTAGTGTATCGTGTATAGTGTAGTGCATAGTGTAGTGTATAGTGTAGTGTACAGTAGTGTATAGTGTAGTGTATAGTGTAGTGCATAGTGTAGTGTACAGTAGAGTATAATGTAGGGTATAGTGTAGTGTAGAGTGTAGTGTATAGTGTAGTGTATAGTGTAGTGCATAGTAGTGTATAGTGTAGTGTATAGTGTAGTGTATAGTGTAGTGTAGTAGTGTACAGTAGTGTATAGTAGTGTATAGTGTAGTGCATAGTGTAATGTATAGTGTAGTGTATAGTAGTGTATAGTGTAGTGTATAGTGTAGTGCATAGTGTAATGTATAGTGTAGTGTATAGTGTAGTGTAGTAGTGTACAGTAGTGTATAGTGTAGTGTATAGTGTAGTGTATAGTGTAGTGTATAGTAGTGTATAATGTAGTGTATAGTGTAGTGTATAGTGTAGTGCATAGTGTAGTGTATAGTAGTGTATAGTGTAGTGTATAGTGTAGTGTATAGTGTAGTGTATATTGTAGTGTATAGTGTAGTGTATAGTAGTGTAGTGTATAGTGTAGTGTATGGTGTAGTGTATAGTGTAGTGTATAGAAGTGTAGTGTATAGTGTAGTGTATAGTAGTGTAGTGTATATTGCAGTGTATATTGTAGTGTGTAGTAGTGTAGAGTATAGTGTAGTGTATAGTGTAGTGTATAGTGTAGTGTATAGTAGTGTATAGTGTAGTGTATAGTAATGTATAGTGTAGTGTATAGTGTAGTGTATAGTAGTGTATAATGTAGTGTATAGTGTAGTGTATAGTAGTATAGTGTAGTGTATAGTGTAGTGTATAGTAGTGTATAGTGTAGTGTATAGTGTAGTGTGTAGTGTAGTGTATAGTGTAGTGTATAGTGTAGTGTATAGTAGTGCAGGGCATAGCCAGGGGGTTCCTCTGCAACCCCCACAGGTAGAAGCGGCAGTGAGTCAAGGAACAGATGGAGATTAGTCCACCACACTCTGCCTGGGGCAGGGGTGTTCCCTCACACGTTGGACATGAGGTAGATCTCCTCCACGGCCTCTTGGCTGCGGCAGTTCAGCCTCATGAGGTCCATGGTGGTGTAGCTGAGAAGGTTCCCACGTTTGCTCACCTGGTGAGTGAGGGGTGTTGAGTGATGAGTGAGGGGTGGTGAGTGGTGAGTGAGGGGTGTGGTGAGTGGTGAGTGAGGGGTGGTGAGGGGTGGTGAGTGGTGAGTGAGGGGTGGTGAGTGGTGAGTGAGGGGTGGTGAGTGGTGAGTGAGGGGTGGTGAGTGGTGAGTGAGGGGTGGTGAGTGGTGAGTGAGGGGTGGTGAGTGGTGAGTGGTGAGTGAGGGTGGTGAGTGGTGAGTGAGGGGTGGTGAGTGGTGAGTGAGGGGTGGTGAGTGGTGAGTGAGGGGTGGTGAGTGGTGAGTGGTGAGTGAGGGTGGTGAGTGGTGAGTGAGGGTGGTGAGTGGTGAGTGGTGGGGTGAGTGGTGGTGATTGGTGAGTGGGGGGTGGTGAGTGATGAGTGAGTGGTGGTGAGTGGTGAGTGAGGGGTGGTGAGTGGTGAGTGATGAGTGAGTGGTGAGTGAGGGGTGGTGAGTGGTGAGTGAGGGGTGGTGAGTGGTGAGTGAGGGGTGTGGTGAGTGGTGAGTGAGGGTGGTGAGTGGTGAGTGAGGGGTGGTGAGTGGTGAGTGAGGGGTGGTGAGGGGTGAGTGAGGGGTGTGGTGAGTGGTGGGGTGAGGGGTGAGACTCACACGTAGACACATAGACTCACACATAGACTCACACATAAACACATAGACTCACACATAGACACATAGACTCACACATAGACTCATAGACTCACACATAGACACATAGACTCACACATAGACTCACACGTAGACACACACATAGACTCACACATAGACACATAGACTCACACATAGACTCATAGACTCACACATAGACACATAGACTCACACATAGACTCACACGTAGACACACACATAGACACATAGACTCACACATAGACACATAGACTCACAGATAGACTCACACACAGATACACATAGACTCACACATAAACACATAGACCCACACATAGACACATAGACTCACACATAGACACATAGACTCACACATAGACTCACATATAGACTCACACGTAGACACATAGACTCAAACATAGACTCATAGACTCACACATAGACTCACACGTAGACACATAGACTCACACATAGACACACACATAGACACATAGACTCACACATAGACACATAGACTCACACATAGACACAGACCCACACGTAGACACATAGACTCACACATAGCCTCACACCTAGACACATAGACTCACACGTAGACACAGACTCACACATAGTCTCACACCTAGACACATAGACTCACACATAGACTCACACATAGACACAGACTCACACATAGATACAGACTCACACTTAGACACATAGACTCACACATAGACACAGACTCACACCTATACACATAGACTCACACCTAGACACAGACTCACACCTATACACATAGACTCACACATAGACTCTGGGTCTATGAGTGGTGAGTCTGTGAGTGGTGAGTCTATGAGTGGTGAGTCTGAGTCTCTGTGTGATGAGTCTATGGGTCTCTGCGTGGTGAGTCTGTGGGTCTCTATGTGATGAGTTTATGGGTCTCTGCGTGGTGAGTCTATGGGTCTCTGTGTGATGAGTCTCTGGGTCTCTGTGTGATGAGTCTATGGGTCTCTGTGTGATGAGTCTATGGGTCTCTGTGTGAGTCTATGAGTCTCTGTGTGGTGAGTCTGTGGGTCTCTGTGCGATGAGTCTATGGGTCTCTGTGCAATGAGTCTATGGGTCTCTGTGTGATGAGTCTATGGGTCTCTGTGTGATGAGTCTATGGGTCTTTGTGTGATGAGTCTATGGGTCTCTATGTGATGAGTCTATGAGTCTCTGTGTGGTGAGTCTGTGGGCTCTGTGCGATGAGTCTATGGGTTTCTGTGCGATGAGTCTATGGGTCTCTGTGCGATGAGTCTATGAGTCTGTGTGGTGAGTCTGTGAGTCTCTGTGTGGTGAATCTGTGAGTCTCTGTGCGTTGACCTTGATGAAGACCTCTGGCAGACGCTGTTCGGGCTGCAGGGAGTGAGCGGACGTCTGGATGTAAAAGCCACGCACGGCGCTGTAGCTCATGGACATGGGCAGGTTGTGAATCTCGGAGAGCTGTTTGATGATCTCTGGGAGAGAGAGAATGGGCAGGTTGTGAATCTCGGAGAGCTGTTTAATGATCTCTGGGAGAGAGAGAATGGGCAGGTTGTGAATCACGGAGAGCTGTTTGATGATCTCTGGGAGAGAGAGAATGGGCAGGTTGTGAATCACGGAGAGCTGTTTGATGATCTCTGAGAGAGAGAATGGGCAGGATGTGAATCACGGAGAGCTGTTTGATGATCTCTGGGAGAGAGAATGGGCAGGTTGTGAATCACGGAGAGCTGTTTGATGATCTCTGAGAGACAGAATGGGCAGGTTGTGAATCACGGAGAGCTGTTTGATGATCTCTGGGAGAGAGAGAATGGGCAGGTTGTGAATCTCGGAGAGCTGTTTGATGATATCTGGGAGAGAGAGAATGGGCAGGTTGTGAATCTCGGAGAGCTGTTTGATGATCTCTGAGAGAGAGAATGGGCAGGTTGTGAATCTCGGAGAGCTGTTTGATGATCTCTGAGAGAGAGAATGGGCAGGTTGTGAATCTCGGAGAGCTGTTTGATGATCTCTGGGAGAGAGAGAATGGGCAGGTTGTGAATCACGGAGAGCTGTTTGTTGATCTCTGGGAGAGAGAGAATGGGCAGGTTGTGAATCACAGAGAGCTGTTTGATGATCTCTGGGAGAGAGAGAGTGGGCAGGTTGTGAATCACGGAGAGCTGTTTGATGATCTCTGGGAGAGAGAATGGGCAGGTTGTGAATCACGGAGAGCTGTTTGATGATCTCTGAGAGACAGAATGGGCAGGTTGTGAATCACGGAGAGCTGTTTGATGATCTCTGGGAGAGAGAGAATGGGCAGGTTGTGAATCTCGGAGAGCTGTTTGATGATATCTGGGAGAGAGAGAATGGGCAGGTTGTGAATCTCGGAGAGCTGTTTGATGATCTCTGAGAGAGAGAATGGGCAGGTTGTGAATCTCGGAGAGCTGTTTGATGATCTCTGAGAGAGAGAATGGGCAGGTTGTGAATCTCGGAGAGCTGTTTGATGATCTCTGGGAGAGAGAGAATGGGCAGGTTGTGAATCACGGAGAGCTGTTTGTTGATCTCTGGGAGAGAGAGAATGGGCAGGTTGTGAATCACAGAGAGCTGTTTGATGATCTCTGGGAGAGAGAGAGTGGGCAGGTTGTGAATCACGGAGAGCTGTTTGTTGGTCTCTGAGAGAGAGAGATTGGGCAGGGGAGAGAGGGGGAAGAGTGGGGGAGAAAGGAGGAGAGGGGGGGGGAGATGATGGTGGAACCCACGACCTCCTGCGTACCAGGCGAGGTAGTTGACATCTCGCAGCCACCGTGATGATGACGATGATGAGAGAGACACGCAAACTCCAAACGTACAGCAGCAGGCGGTAGAGAGAGAGAGAGGAAAAGAGAGATACAAAGACGGCCGGGGAGGGCTACGGGTGGGTCAGCCGTGCCGTGCCTTCGATGTCTCCGACGGCCTCGGAGAGGATGCGCCGAGCGAGGTCCAGGAAGCCGTTGAGGCCGGGGCGCACGACGTGGCAGCGCCGTGTCCTGGCCGAGAGGAGGTTGCCCTTGCGGAAGGGCAAATCGTCGGTCAGCACCGTGCGCAGCTTGCCCAGGATCGCAGGGAACCTGGCACGGGGACAGCGGGGGAGGAGACGCGGTGGGGGTTGTGGTGTCGCCGCCGCCATCGACGCCGCCACCGTCGCCGACAACAACAACGACGACGGCAACCGCCGTTCACCACTAAGTGGCGGTGACGTCACCACGACGCTTGTGCCAGGCCATGTGCACTTCGAGGCCACGTGAAGTGTTGAACGCACGCTGGCACGAAGGTCACGGGGCAGACCCAGGTGCCAGGGGGGGACTGAGTGAGATGAGTGGCTGATGCACCACCTGTGCCTCCTACTGTGCCAACCCGCTGTGCTTTAGCCACCCGGCGCTCCGCTCGTTGTTGTGAGCATCGCTCCTCCGCCCTCCGTTGTTGTTGGAGGGCGACTGCCTCCAACTGCCCAGTAGCGTCCTTCACGAGCCTCCTCCACAGAGGCCGATCCTGACACCGCTGGTACCAGTCATCGGCAAGTCCACTCAGCTCTACGTACTCCTGTACCACGTCACTCCATCTCTTCTCTAGCCCGTGCCTCCTGTACCACACCACTCCATCTCTTCTCTAGCCCCCTTGATCCGGCTGAACAAAAGCTGTTTCGGCATGTGATCGCTGGGCATGCGGGCTGCATGACCCAGCCAACGCAGTGTTGCCTGCCGGAGGAGCTCACTGATGGGACTTTGTCCAGATCTTTCAAGGATTTGTGAGCTCCTCACACAATCCAGCCTGGTTAAACCCAGGATGGATCGTAGACAGGCCAGCCTAAATGTTTCTAACCAGCAAAGATGTTCCATTAGGGGGGTCCACGTTTCACAAGCATAGAGAAGGGAGGGAATGACTGTGGCCGAGAAGACCTGAAGCTTAGTGCGGAGCGACAGACCAGGTAGCTTCCACACAGCGTTACGCAACCGATGAAAATATAATGCCGCTTGACCGATTCCGAGTGCTGTTAAACCGGAGCCGGTCATGAGCACACTGCCCAGGTATGGGTAACTCTCCACTCTCCCCACAACTATCCCATCACCAATTGGAAGTTGTGGGGGTGGAGTGTCCGATGGCAGAAAATACCCAGGCAAGTGCTTAGTTTCAGTGGGTAAGGCTCCACTTCTTAGTGGCAAGCTCCAGGTTCAGCAGCAGCGCCTCCAACTCCTCCTCTGAGTGAGCAGCAATTCCCAGATCATCGGCATACATTACATGGTTGAACAATCGGGAGCCATCCCTTGACCGCACCCGGGCATCGATCAGCCTCCCATTCTATCTGTACCAGATGGGAATTCCTCCGGTACAGCTACTGAAGGCTTCACGAACTACGTGGTCAAAATAGATGTTTAATAATGTGGGAGCCAGAGGACATCCCTGTCGCACCCCAAGGTGTACAGGGAATGGCTCCGACTCCCGGCCACGTAGTTTTGCCTGGGCCCGCTCACTATCATGAAGGTCCTTAATGATCATGAGCAGAGGGTCAGGGACTTCGAAAGCACGAAGAACAACCCAGAGCCCAGGCCTACTGATGGTGTCATAGGCCTTGACCAGGTCAATAAAGCGGAGATGTAGGTCTTGTTGGAATTCCCTACACCTATACTATACTGTAGACAGAAAATATGACATGTTGCAGGAACGCCTTTTCCTGAAACCGCATTGGGGTTCCGCATGCCTCTCCTAAGCGTGCCTTGAAAGGCGATGTTGAATAATCCTTGCCAGGACCTTTCCCGGCACACTGAGGAGTGAGATACCCCTGTAGTTGTTACAGTCTGTGCGGTCCCCTTACTACAAAGAGGGGGACCACCAGGGCATTCTTCCAATCCTGCGGAACCCATCCAGTGGTCCAGACTGTTGTTATGATGTCATGTAGGGCAGTTTGTGAACAAACGCCACCCTCCCTCAGCATTTTGCTTGGGAGATCGTCTCTGCCCGGTGCCTTTCCTGGTCTCAGACTCTGGATCGCCTTCAGTACTTCCTCAACAGATGGCACCTCAGCCAGCTACTCACAGGGGGTGACTTCTTCCAATATTTGAGGCACCGCAGCCTCAGTAGTGTCATCCCCACTTTGGCCCACGATGTTTTCCAGGTTGAGGGATTTTCCCTCCCCCAGGACCTCACAGAAATGCTCAGCAGATATGCAAACCTGTTCCTCGGGGTCGGAGATCGGATCACTGTTCTTTCCCCTAATGATGGTAATAGGTGTGGCGCTGCTGGTTATATTTTTTATGGAGTTAAAGAGCGATTTGTGATCGCGGGCCATTGAGGCAGACTCCATCTCCTCAGCAACCCGCGACCACCACCCATCCTTGCAGCGCCTCACGGCTCTCCAAACCTCCGAGCGAAGGTTGCGGTAAGCCTCCTCATTCTCCGACGTGGGATGCTGTAGGCTATGAGAGTGGGCCTGTCGCTTTTTCTCAGCCAGCCTGAACACCTCCTCTGTCAGCCAAGGTCTCTGGGGAGGTCTGGACCGTGTACCCAAAGCAGCCATTGCAGCTGCATGAGCCACAGTCCTAAATCTCGCCCATTGTCCCTCGACATCAGGAGGAGTGGGGGACGATGCCAACCCCAGCCGCACTGAGACCAGGCCACTATGAGTTTGAATGGGGTCCTGGGTGTACACCCACTACCGGAGTGGAAGAATGGCAGGCGCATCTTACAGATGACTAGTCAATGGTCAGTGGGCAGATCAGTACCATGGAAGGTCCTGGTGTCAAGGACATGGGCCCGCATCCGCTGTTCCGTCACTATAACATCCAGTAGATGGCCTTGCTTAGACCTGGCATGCATCCATGATGTTGTGTGGATGCGCCGATGCCGGAACAGCGTGTTGGTAATTATAAGCCCATGGGCTGCACAAAAATCTAGCTGCCTCCTGCCGTTGTTATTGAACGGATCTGGCTCATGCCTTCCAATCACTCCAGACCAGGTGCCAGCATCATGACCAACTCGGGCATTGAAGTCACCCAACAAGATGACTCTATCCCGAGGGTCCACTTTAGCTAGCACCTGTGACAGGAGGTTATAGGAGGCATCTGACTCATCGGCCTTGCCTACATCCCTCCACGGATGTTCATCTTCGGTGGGGGCATAAGTAACCACGACCACTACTCCTCACCTCCGGTTGATGGGAAGGCGAGCCCAAAGTAGCCTGGGGACTACAGCTTCCCACACCTTACCACCACGCTCCCACGCCCCCTTCATTCTTTTGTTTAGAAGAAGAGCCACTCCCTGTTGTTTGGCAGTCTCCTCCCCTGAGTAGAAGACTGTCCACCCCTCACAGTGGCAGGAGCCAGAGCCGGTCCACCGGACCTCCTGATTACAACAGAGATCCAGGCGGTACCGGTCCAGCTCCCAACAGAGAAGTGGCAACCTCTCCTCCGCAGTGAGCATTCGAACATTCTACGAGGCCATCCGTAGTGGCTTTTCGTTGTTAAAGGAGGAGCCCCGAGGGGAAGGATTCAGTCTCCTGACTCCGCCAAATAGTGTTTGGCCAGGAGACGTCATAGATGCCTATCCCCCCGGGGCCTCTGGCACAAGCTTATTAATTACATTTTTCATTCATGGTTTGGTGATAATTAATTGAACGTGGATGGGTTACCAGCCCCTCGCACCCATCCAGAGCCCCCAATTGGCCGCTGTGGTGGCTACAAACGTCATGAAGGGAAAAGCCAAAAATCTAAATAGGCACCTCCCCCCATGGCACTGCCCACCACAGCGTTGCCATCCAGCACCAAAGAGGAGGTAGGGGGTTGTTTTTGCCACCGTCACAACCCCCACCATCACCACCATCACCCTCACTACCGTCACCACCACCACCATCACCACCACCCCCACCACCACCCACACCACCACCCCCACTACCACCACCGTCACCACCGTCACCACCGTCACCACCACCCCCACCACCACCCCCACCACCAGCACCACCACTACCACCGTCACCACCATCACCCCCACCACCACCACCACCCCCACCACCACCCACACCACCACCCCCACCTCCACCCCCACCACCACCACCACTGTCACCACCCCCACCATCACCACCACCTCCTCCACCACCCCCACCCACACCACCACCACCACCTCTTCCTCCACCACCATCACAAACCACCACCACCCCCACCACCACCCACACCCCCACCACCGTCACCACAGTCACCACCATCACCACCACCACCACCCCCACCACCACCACCAGCCTGGTCTCCTCGTCACCTGCAGTCCAACAGGGAGCTCTGGTAGGCTGTCAGCAGTGGAGTCTTGCAGGGGCTAAGCGCTCGCTGGGAACACAGCAGGGGAGAGATAGGTGAGGGTGACACCTGCACCTGTCACTCACCACTCACCACCTCACCACTCAACTCACCTCACCCTTCACTCAACACTCACCCACCCCTCACCAACCCCTCACCTCACCACTCACCACCTCACCACTCACCACCTCACCACTCACCACCTCACCACTCACCCCACCACCCACCTCACCACGCACCACCTCACCACTCTCCTCACCACTCAACTCACCTCACCCTTCACTCAACACTCACCCACCCCTCACCAACCCCTCACCTCACCACTCACCACCTCACCACTCACCTCACCACCCACCTCACCACTCACCTCACCACGCACCTCACCACTCACCTCACCACTCACCTCACCACTCACCTCACCACCCACCTCACCACTCACCTCACTACTCACCTCACCACTCACCTCACCACCCAACTCACCACGCACCACCTCACCACTCACCTCACCACCCAACTCACCACGCACCACCTCACCACCCAACTCACCACGCACCACCTGACCACTCAACTCACCTCACCCTTCACTCAACACTCACCCACCCCTCACCAACCCCTCACCGCACCACTCACCTCACCTGCCACTCACCCTACCTGTGGGTGTTGTGGAGGCACCCCCAGTGGCAGCTGTCTCTGTGTGTGAGTCTGCTGTTGCCTAGGGGCACCCCCAGTGGCAGCTGTCTCTGTGTGTGTCTGCTGTGGCCTAGGGGCACCCCCAGTGGCAGCTGTCTCTGTGTGTGAGTCTGCTGCTGCCTAGGGGCACCCCCAGTGGCAGCTGTCTCTGTGTGTGAGTCTGCTGTGGCTTAGGGGCACCCCCAGTGGCAGCTGTCTCTGTGTGTGAGTCTGCTGTTGCCAGGGGCACCCCCAGTGGCAGCTTAATGATAATGATAGTGATGATAGTGATGATAGGGATTAACGATAATTAGTGATGACAGTGATTAATAATAATTAGTGATGATAGTGATTAACAATAATTAGTGATGATAGTGATTAACAATAATTAGTGATGATAGTGATTAACAATAATTAGTGATGATAGTGATTAACAATAATTAGTGATGATAGTGATTAACAATAATTTGTGATGACAGTGATTAATAATAATAATTAGTGATGATAGTGATCAACAATAATTAGTGATGATAGTGATCAACAATAATTAGTGATGATAGTGATTAACAATAATTCGTGATGATAGTGATTAACAATAATTAGTGATGACAGTGATCAATAATAATTAGTGATGATAGTGATCAACAATAATTAGTGATGACAGTGATCAACAATAATTAGTGATGATAGTGATTAACAATAATTAGTGATGATAGTGATTAACAATAATTAGTGATGATAGTGATTAATAATAATTAGTGATGATAGTGATTAACAATAATTAGTGATGATAGTGATTAATAATAATTAGTGATGATAGTGATTAATAATAATTAGTGATGATGGTGATCAACAATAATTAGTGATGATAGTGATTAATAATAATTAGTGATGATGGTGATCAACAATAATTAGTGATGACAGTGATCAATAATAATTAGTGATGATAGTGATTAACAATAATTAGTGATGATAGTGATTAATGATAATTAGTGATGATAGTGATCAACAATAATTAGTGGTGATAGTGATCAATAATAATTAGTGATGATAGTGATTAACAATCATTAGTGATGATAGTGATTAATGATAATTAGTGATGATAGTGATTAACGATAATTAGTGATGACAGTGATTAACAATAATTAGTGATGATAGTGATTAACAATAATTAGTGATGACAGTGATTAATAATAATTAGTGATGATAGTGATTAATAATAATTTGTGATGACAGTGATTAACGATTAGTGATGATAGTGATTAATAATAATTAGTGATGATAGTGATTAACAATAATTAGTGATGACAGTGATCAATAATAATTAGGGATGATAGTGATTAATAATAATTAGTGATGATAGTGATCAACAATAATTAGTAATGATAGTGATTAACAATAATTAGTGATGATAGTGATTAACAATAATTAGTGATGATAGTGATTAACAATAATTAGTGATGATAGTGATTAATAATAATTGGTGATGATAGTGATTAACAATAATTAGTGATGACAGTGATCAATAATAATTTGTGATGATAGTGATTAACAATAATTAGTGATGATAGTGATTAATAATAATTAGTGATGATAGTGATTAACAATAATTAGTGATGATAGTGATTAACAATAATTAGTGATGATAGTGATTAGCGATAATTAGTGATGATGGGTGATCAACAATAATTAGTGATGACAGTGATCAATAATAATTAGTGATGACAGTGATCAACAATAATTAGCGATGATAGTGATTAACAATAATTAGTGATGATAGTGATTAACAATAATTAGTGATGATAGTGATTAACAATAATTAGTGATGACAGTGATTAATGATAACTAGTGATCATAGCGATGAACAATAATTAGTGATGACAGTGATCTTGGGCAGGCGATGTAACCTGCAGTGGAGACACCAACTCCAGGACATGCTTGAGGTGGATGGCGTAGTTGATCTTAGACTCAGCAGTTCTCAACTGGAACAGGGTAGATGGATAGACAGATACATAGATAGATACATTTTGATTTAAAGCTTTCGTGACTGCAGGGATTAATATTCTTGGTTCTTTCGGTAAAGTCACCACGTAGAAAGGGAAACTATAAAATAATAAAAATATAAAACAATAAAATTATCACGAAGTTTCGACTGCAACACGAGCAATCATCATCAAGGTGTGAAAACCACAGCAAGAAAATGTTATTCTTTTATATTTATATTATTTCCCTTCTACGTGACTTTACCGAATATAGATAGATACATGTAGAGATAAATATAGACAAATAAATAGATCACTAAATAGCCTCTCTCTCTACATCACGGGTGGGGAACCTTTTTTCTACCAAGGGCCATTTGGATATTTACAACATCATTCGCGGGCCATACAAAATTGATCAACTTAAAAATTAGCCCGTTATATCTGGTCAAACGTTTAATTAACTCGCCCCTAATGTGATGGCCTGGAACTGCTTCTCTTTGGCGAGGCGTTTGGTGATGTTAGCCGGTATTGATGATGTTGTTGCTACTCACAACTGCTCTTCCAGGATTGCTCTACCTAGATTTATTGAATTTCGAGTCCCGCCTGCGGTTGCCTTGGCAGGGCCAGAGGCTGGACGTTCCCCACCCCTGTTTAACGTGATGAAGGGGTACTGTGTGGTGCTGAGCGAGGTGATGCTGATGATGATTAAAGTGATCATCTCACCGTCTCTGTCTTAGGGATTTGAATCAGCATTGAGAGCAGGTGGTCTACATCCAGAAACTGACTGATAGCTGCACACACATACACACAGACATCACACATATACACACAGACACACACACACAGACATACACAACAACAACAACCGCCATTCGCCACTAAGTGGCGGTGACGTCACCACGACGCTTGTGCCAGGCCATGTGCACCTTGAGGCCACGTGAAGTGTCGAACGCCCACCGGCAGGAGGTCACGGGGCAGACCCAGGTGCCACGGGTCGACTGACTGAGATGACTGGCTGATGCACCACCTGTGCCCCCTACTGTGCCAACCTGCTGTGCTTTAGCCACCCGGCGCTCCGCTCATTGTTGTGAGCGTCGCTCCTCCGCCCTCCGTTGTTGTTGGAGGGCGACTGCCTCCAACTGCCCAGTAGCGTCCTTCACGAGCCTCCTCCACAGAGGCCGATCTTGACACCGCTGGTACCAGTCATCGGCAAGTCCACTCAGCTCCACGTCCTCCTGTACCACATCACTCCATCTCTTATCTAGCACAAGCAGCATCCGTTTAGCCCCCTCGATCCGGCCGAACAAAATCTGTTTGGGCATGTGGTGATTGGGCATGCGGGCTACATGGCCCAGCCAACGCAGTCTTGCCTGCCGGAGGAGCTCACCGATGGGACTTTGTCCAGATTTTTCGAGGATTTGTGAGCTCCTTACACAATCCAGCCTGGTTAAACCCAGGATTGATCGTAGGCAGGCCAGCCTAAATATTTCTAACCGGCGAAGATGTTCCATTTGGGGGGTCCACGTTTCACAAGCGTAGAGAAGGGAGGGAAGACCCAAAGCTTCGTGCGGAGCGACAGACCAGGTAACTTCCACACAGCGTTACGCAACCGATGAAAAGACATTGCCGCTCGACTGATTCGGAGTGCGATCTTTGCTGTTAAACCAGAGCCGGTCATGAGCGCACTGCCCAGGTATGGGAAACTCTCCACTCGCTCCACAACTGCCCCATCACCCACCCACCCACTCACCCACCCACATACCCACTCACCCACCCACGCAACCACTCACTCACCCACTCAACCACCCACCCACTCACTCACCCACTCACGCACTCACTCACCCACTCACGCACCCACTCACCCGCCCACCCACATACCCACCCACCCACTCAGCCACCCACCCACCAACCCACCCACCCACCGGCCTGCACTCTATAGAAGTTGTCTTCCTGCATCAGCTCATCCACACAGTCGAGACGGCCTCTGAGCGTCTCTTCGTCCACCAGCGGCTCGTGGATGTTGGCTCTGAGCCGGCGCGCTCCTCCACGCGTCCTCGTGTAGTTGAGCACCCCGAATAGCGAGTGGGAGCTCCTGGGTGCACGCTCGCACGCACACACACACACACATGCACACACACGGGTGGAGGAGGGTCACACACACACACACACCAACACACACCCACACACACTCATACCACACTCGCACCCACACATACACGCACACACACCAACACACACACACACTACCACACTCGCACCCACACACACCCCCACACACACCAACACACACCAACACACACACTAACACACACACACCAACACAAACCACAAAACAACAACAACAACCGCCATTCGCCACTAAGTGGCGGTGACATCACCACGACGCTTGTGCCAGGCTATGTGCACCCTGAGGCCACGTGAAGTGTCGAACACCCGCTGGCAGGAGGTCACGGGGCAGACCCAGGTGCCACAGGTCGACTGACTGAGATGACTGGCTGATGCACCACCTGTGCCCCCTACTGTGGCAACCTGCTGTGCTTTAGCCACCCGGCGCTCCGCTCGTTGTTGTGAGCGTCGCTCCTCCGCCCTCCGTTGTTGTTGGAGGCCGACTGCCTCCAACTGCCCAGTAGCGTCCTTCACGAGCCTCCTACACAGAGGCCGATCTTGACACCGCTGGTACCAGTCATCGGCAAGTCCACTCAGCTCCACGTCCTCCTGTACCACATCACTCCATCTCTTCTCTAGCCCGTGCCGCACCCATTTAGCCCCCTCAATCCGGCCGAACAAAAGCTGTTTCGGCATGCGGTGGCTGGGCATGCGGGTTGCATGACCTATCCGAGGGGCCACTCTATCCCGAGGGGCCACTTTAGCCAGCACCTGTGACAGGAGGTCATAGAAGGCATCTGACTCATCGGCTTTGCCTGCATCCCTCCACGGATGTTCATCTTCGGTGGGGGCATAAGTAACCACGACCACCATTCCTCGCCTCGGGTTGATGGGAAGGCGAGCCCAAAGTAGCCTGGGGCTTACAGCTTCCCACACCTCACCGCCACGCTCCCACGCCCCCTTCATTCTTTTGTTCAAAAGAAGAACCACTCCCTGTTGTTTGGCAGTTTGCTGCCCCGAGTAGAGGACTGTCCACCCCTCATAGTGGCAGGAGCCAGAGCCGGTCCACCGGACCTCCTAAATGCCACATAGATCCAGGCGGTACCGGTCCAGCTCCCGACAGAGGAGTGGCAGGCTCTCCTCCGCAGTGAGCGTTCGAACATTCCACGTGGCCACCCGTAGTGGTTTTTCGTTGTTTCTGGAGGAGCCCCGAGGGTAGATATTCAATCTCCTGGCTCCACACACAACCACACACACCACACACACCCACACACCCACACACCCACACCACACCAACACCCACACACACACACCACACACACCAACACACACACACCAACACACAGAAGGGGGAGTGGCTATCCCCGCTAGCGAGGGAGGAGGAGGAGGAGGCATCGTCTACCGAGGGTCGTGGGAGTTGCGCAGCAGCTCCAGGTTGGCGGCCGTGGTGCCGTCGATCATGGCGGTGCGCTCACTGCCGCAGAAGGAGACGCGCACGGAGGCCGGGGCGAGCACCACGCCCTGGATGAACTCCACATACTGCAGCAGCGCCGCCAGCGAAGCCAGGCAGTAGTATCTGGGGGTGGTGGGCAGGGGCGAGGGTGAGTGGGAGGGTGAGAGGGGGGTGGGTGAGTGGATGGGTGAGTGGGTGGATGAGTGGATGGGTGAGTGGATGGGTGGGTGGGTGAGTGAGTGGGTAACCCTAACCCTAACCACTCCATCTCTTCTCTAGCCCGTACCGTGCCCGTTTAGCCCCCTCGATGCGGCCGAACAAAAGCTGTTTGGGCATGCGGTGGCTGGGCATGCGGGCTACATGGCCCAGCCAACGCAGCCTTACCTGCCGGAGGAGCTCACCGGTGAGCTCCTCACCCACTCACCCACACACTCACCCATAGACCCACACACTCACCCACACACTCACCCACACACTCACCCACACACTCACCCACACAATCACCCACAAACTCACCCACTCACCCACATACCCACACACTCACCCACACACTCACTCACCCACTCACCCACCCACTCACCCACCCACACACACACCCATAGACCCACACACTCACTCACCCACCCACTCACCCACACACACCCACACACTCACCCACACACACCCACTCACTTCCCCTGCACGTCCATGAGCACGGTGGCCATGTGGGGCACGCAGAGCCTTCGCACGGCGTCCATGCCCCGCTCCTCGTTGAAGTATTTCCTCAGCACCGTGGTCACGTGGGCCTCCTGCACACGCACTCACCACGAGGTGGCAGCACCCACTGTGGTGCGTCTGTGGGTCTCTGTGTGATGAGTCTATCGGTCTCTGTGTGGTGAGTCTATGGGTCTCTGTGTGGTGAGTCTGTGGGTCTCTGTGTGATGAGTCTATGGGTCTCTGTGTGATGAGTCTATGGGTCTCTGCGTGATGAGTCTATGGGTCTCTGCGTGATGAGTCTATAGGTCTCTGTGTGGTCTGTGGGTCTCTGTGTGGTGAGTCTATAGGTCTGTATGTGATGAGTCTATGGGTCTCTGCGTGGTGAGTCTATGGGTCTCTGTGTGATGCGTCTGTGGGTCTCTGTGTGGTGAGTCTATGGGTCTGTATGTGATGAGTCTATGGGTCTCTGCGTGGTGAGTCTATGGGACTCTATGTGGTGAGTCTATGGGTCTCTGTGTGGTGAGTCTATGGGTCTCTGTGTGGTGAGTCTAGGAGTCTCTGTGTGATGAGTCTATGGCTCTCTGTGTGATGAGTCTATGGGTCTCTGTGTGATGAGTCTATAGGTCTCTTTGTGATGAGTCTATGGGTCTCTGCAGGATGAGTCTATGGGTCTCTGTGTGGTGAGTCTATGGGTCTCTGTGTGGTGAGTCTATGGCTCTCTGTGTGATGAGTCTATGGGTCTCTGCGTGATGAGTCTATGGGTCTCTGTGTGGTGAGTCTATGGGTCTCTGTGTGGTGAGTCTATGGCTCTCTGTGTGATGAGTCTATGGGTCTCTGTGTGATGAGTCTATGGGTCTGTATGTGATGAGTCTATGGGTCTCTGCGTGATGAGTCTAGGAGTCTCCGTGTGCTGAGTCTATAGGTCTCTGTGTGATGAGTCTATGGGTCTCTGTGTGATGAGTCTATGGGTCTCTGTGTGATGAGTCTATGGCTCTCTGTGTGATGAGTCTATGGCTCTCTGTGTGATGAGTCTATGGGTCTCTGTGTGATGAGTCTATGGGTCTCTGTGTGATGAGTCTATGGCTCTCTGTGTGATGAGTCTATGGCTCTCTGTGTGATGAGTCTATGGCTCTCTGTCTGATGAGTCTAGGAGTCTCTGTGTGATGAGTCTAGGAGTCTCCGCGTGGTGAGTAGTGGCGATGCCGTCCGTGCGTGCTCACAGGGAAGTAGTCCCTCAGCAGGGTGAACATTTTGCTGGCGTTTGGGTTGCAGGCCGTGTGGGGCATCACCACCTCCAGTGGGCGTAGCACCTGCAGCTTGGTGATCGCCTGAACAAGCAGCAGCAGCAGCAGCGCCAGCAACGAGAACAACAGGCTGAGGTGCAGCAGGAGGAAGTCACGGGACAGACCCAGGTGCAGTGGGTTGACTGCTGTGCCAGGCTAGGTGCGCCAGGAGGAGGTCACGGGACAGACCCAGGTGCAGTGGGTTGACTGCTGTGCCAGGCTAGGTGCACCAGGAGGAGGTCACGGGGCAGGCCCAGGTGCAGTGGGTTGACTGCTGTGCCAGGCTAGGTGCACCAGGAGGAGGTCACGGGACAGGCCCAGGTGCAGTGGGTTGACTGCTGTGCCAGGCTAGGTGCACCAGGAGGAGGTCACGGGACAGACCCAGGTGCAGTGGGTTGACTGCTGTGCCAGGCTAGGTGCACCAGGAGGAGGTCACGGGACAGACCCAGGTGCAGTGCGTTGACTCCTGTGCCAGGCTAGGTGCACCAGGAGGAGGTCACGGGACAGATCCAGGTGCAGTGCGTTGACTCCTGTGCCAGGCTAGGTGCACCAGCAGGAGGTCACGGGACAGACCCAGGTGCAGTGGATTGACTGCTGTGCCAGGCTAGGTGCACCAGGAGGAGCTCACGGGACAGACCCAGGTGCAGTGCGTTGACTCCTGTGCCAGGCTAGGTGCACCAGGAGGAGGTCACGGGACAGACCCAGGTGCAGTGGGTTGACTGCTGTGCCAGGCTAGGTGCACCAGGAGGAGGTCACGGGACAGACCCAGGTGCAGTGGGTTGACTGCTGTGCCAGGCTAGGTGCACCAGGAGGAGGTCACGGGACAGACCCAGGTGCAGTGGGTTGACTGCTGTGCCAGGCTAGGTGCACCAGGAGGAGCTCACGGGACAGACCCAGGTGCAGTGCGTTGACTCCTGTGCCAGGCTAGGTGCACCAGGAGGAGGTCACGGGACAGACCCAGGTGCAGTGGGTTGACTGCTGTGCCAGGCTAGGTGCACCAGGAGGAGGTAACGGGACAGACCCAGGTGCAGTGGGTTGACTGCTGTGCCAGGCTAGGTGCACCAGGAGGAGGTCACGGGACAGACACAGGTGCAGTGGGTTGACTGCTGTGCCAAGCTAGGTGCATGAGGTAAGATAAAATAAAAAAAACTAGTGTTTAATAGTTTAAGACTAACCTAACCTGTCAATGTATATATACTGCATACCGTCAGAATAACGACACGCACACATTGGCACGTAGCTACTTACGTGGCTACGGGGCCCCGCACTTTCAAGGGCCCCGCGCTAAACGCTTTCAAGCGATCAATTCCGGTTCGGTGATTCCGCTCTCTTACCAGAGTACGAAACCGCCCTTCAGCTTTTACGAACGGCCGAGTGTGTTGAAGGTTCAGTTTCAGTTTTCAGTTTATTTTGGGTATAGTCCTGTGAGCCATCCGGCTCTTGAATCGGAGTGCAACCGCAACAAACCAACAAAAACACGAGCAAGAAAAGCATCAAATTTTGACTTAAAGCTTCCGTGACTGCAGTGGTTCATATTCTTAGCTCTTTCGGTAAAGTCACGTTAAAGGGAAATAATAAAATAATAAGCACAGAGACAATTTAAACCGAGAAGATGGATTCTGGCTTAGCAATCATTGGAAGGATTTGATAAACCATTTCAGGTCTTAATTGATTGTTCACGCTTACGGTGGCATTTAGACAGCATACATTAATTTTTCGTCTCCCCCCTCCTCTTTTCAGAACATAGATGGACTCGTCCTTCTAAATAAACTGTCAAATCGCTGCCCGTGGTGCTAACGTTTTATAAATAAATAAATGCACCCTTTAAAAATAAATACATAAATGCAAACCGACACACCTGATGACGACTGTTTGTGTTATGGTCGAAACGTCGTGAGAATTTTTATTGTTTTATATATATTTTATTATTTTATTGTTTCCCTTCAACGCGACTTTACCGAAAGAGCTAGGAATATTAATTACTGCAGTCACGAAAGCTTTAAATCAAAACAACCACAGCCACAAGCAAACTTAGGTTAGAAATGCGTCGCATTATCCGGCCGTACGGCAAGTGACAAAAATGACAATCGCTATACCGCACAGGTGAAGAATGTGCGTGTTTTAGTTTTTAATTCAGGGCCCGCTTCATAACACGCACTGCACGGGGGGGGGGGGCCCTTTATGTTCATGCACGGAGAGAGAAGGAGGCTGACCTTGACGTAGGGCTGGCTGTCGGGGAACTGACACAGGACCAGCTCGGGGCAGCGCAGGTCGATGCTGGCCAGGCCGACCTCGCCCCGAGCGATACCTCGGCCCTCTGCCAACGCCACCACCACCGACCTCGCCTCCACCTCCTCCTCCTCGTCGTCGTCGCCGGCGTCGGCGTCGTCAGTCGTGGAGAACGAGGTCGCTGCGGGGCCACAAGAGAGACGGGGTGCTGCCTCCTGTCGTGAGTCGATGAACGGTGGTGAGTCTACGGGTCTCTGTGTGAGTCTACGGGTCTCTGTGTGAGTCTACGGGGCTCTGTGTGTGAGTCTACGGGTCTCTGTGTGAGTCTATGGGTCTCTGTGTGAGTCTACGGGTCTCTGTGTGAGTCTACGGGGCTCTGTGTGTGAGTCTACGGGTCTCTGTGTGAGTCTATGGGTCTCTGTGTGTGAGTCTACGGGTCTCTGTCTGAGTCTATGGGTTTTTGTGTCAGTCTATGGGTCTCTGTGTGAGTCTATGGGTCTCTGTGTGATTCTACGGGTCTCTGTGTGAGTCTATGGGTCTCTGTGTGAGTCTACGGGTCTCTGTGTGAGTCTATGGGTCTCTGTGTGAGTCTACGGGTCTCTGTGTGAGTCTATGGGTCTCTGTGTGAGTCTACGGGTCTCTGTGTGAGTCTATGAAGGGTGGTGAGTCTATGGGTCTCTGTGTGAGTCTATGGGTCTCTGTGTGAGTTTACGGGTCTCTGTGTGAGTCTATGTGTCTCTGTGTGAGTCTATGGGTCTCTGTGCGAGTCTACGGGTCTCTGTGTGAGTCTATGAAGGGTGGTGAGTCTATGGGTCTCTGTGTGAGTATATGGGTCTCTGTGTGAGTTTACGGGTCTCTGTGTGAGTCTATGTGTCTCTGTGTGAGTCTATGGGTCTCTGTGCGAGTCTACGGGTCTCTGTGTGAGTCTATGAAGGGTGGTGAGTCTATGGGTTTCTGTGTGAGTCTGTGGGTCTCTGTGTGAGTCTATGGGTTTCTGTGTGAGTCTATGGGTCTCTGTGTGAGTCTACAGGTCTCTGTGTGAGTCTATGGGTTTCTGTGTGAGTCTATGGGTCTCTGTGTGAGTCTATGGGTCTCTGTGCGAGTCTACGGGTCTCTGTGTGAGTCTATGAAGGGTGGTGAGTCTATGGGTCTCTGTGTGAGTCTATGGGTCTCTGTGTGAGTTTACGGGTCTCTGTGTGAGTCTATGTGTCTCTGTGTGAGTCTATGGGTCTCTGTGCGAGTCTACGGGTCTCTGTGTGAGTCTATGAAGGGTGGTGAGTCTATGGGTTTCTGTGTGAGTCTGTGGGTCTCTGTGTGAGTCTATGGGTTTCTGTGTGAGTCTACGGGTCTCTGTGTGAGTCTACGGGACTCTGTGTGAGTCTACCGGTGGACGTGGTGGCCCTGCTGCTGCTGCCGGGCGCATGCCTCTGGCGTTGCCGCCGCGAGCTGCCCGGCGCTGCACGGAACCGGGAAGCGGGGAGGGGCACCCGCGGGGCCCAGGAGGAGAAGCCTGGCATCACCACGGTGGGAGCATCACCGCAGCCGCCACCGCCACCACCGCCGCCGCGGGCCCTGCCGCCGCCGCTGGTGGTTGTGGCGGTGTCGGCGTTGCCGCTCCGGTCGGCCCAACCCGACTCTGGGAACAAGAGAAACGGGGGGGCGGCGGACGGAGACTTAATTAAAGCGATCCGTTTTCTTTGAGGCTTCTCACGCTCTCGGCCCTGTTCTAACGTGGCACGTGGGGAGTGCGATGGCGTCCCCAGTGGACGCGGGCACCAGAAGACCGACATCGTTCAAGAGAGAGGCTTCACCAAAAACAGAAGCGAGAGAGCTTGCATACTTCGACAGCTGGCGAGGAACGACGCCTCCCTCTCGTCTCCCACCCACCAACCCCAGCGAGGTCTTCTGCAAAAATCCTGTTCGGCAGGATTAACGGTGCTCCCCTTTGACAAGACCCTAGCGGAGGGTGCGAGCTGATTTTTGAAAGGGGGGGGGGGGGGGGGGAGAGGCTGCGTAGGGCCACACATTCGCTCGACGCAATATCACAGAACGGTGCCCGGAATGGAAAGCCGTGGGCTTGTTGGGGCCTTAACGCTCCGCAGGGAGCGGAGAGCAGCGAGATGCAATCTGTTCCTTAAAACTGCCGTGACCGCAGGAATTCGTGTTGTTGAGTTATTTCGGCAAAAACTCACGTAGGTACGAAAACATTTTAATGGATCACGACGTTTGGATCGCGACACAAGCAACCGTCACCAGGTGTGAAACGAACACAGAAGGTGGACCGCCGACGTAGGAGCTGACGTAGGAGCAGTCCACGTGACCTCACCGAAAGAACCAAAGGATAAGGAGCAAGAGGATCCAAAGTACGGTAATCCGTCAACATCAAAATAATCCGCGGAGAGGCGTCATCCCCCTCAGGGGCGGAGCCAGGATTTTCAGCCCGGGGTGACATTCAACAAATGTTAACTTCAAAAATGATTAGAGATTTCGATTTAAAGCTTTCGTGACTGCAAGGATTCATCTTCTTTGGTTCTTGCGGTAAAGTCACCACGTAGAATGAGAATAAAATAATAAAACAATAAAATTCTCACGAAGTTTCGGCCACAACACAAGTGGCTTTCTTCAGGTTTAAAGGGACAGACCTGTTTGGACGACAGGTGGCCTGAAGAAGGCCACCTGCGTTGCGGCCGAAATGTCGTGAGAATTTTATTGTTTTATTTTATTATTTTATTCTCATTCTACGTGGTGGTGACTTTACCGAAAGAACCAAAGAAGATGATTAGAGAGTCAGGCTTGTTGAACCAGACGCCATCGGTTTGGCGACACGCTCTGACGGTGCAGTTACACGAAGTCCGCCAGACCAAGTGTCGTGCACTTACACGCACAATGTTTCAGATTTTTCGATTTTTTTTCAGGGGTGACAATTGTCTAACCCTGTCACCCCCCCCGCCCCCTGGCTCCGCCGCTGATTGCCCTCCTGCACTCTCTCCGACCTTGCATCCTGGAGTGGCGTGCCGCGGGCGTGGAGCTGAGCAAAGACGAGGAGGCGGAGGAGGTGGTGGTGCTGTGTAGCTTGGCTCTGGTCTTTGTGCGCCGGGGAGGAGAATCCAGCAGTAGGCCAAACGAGTACTTGGGACCCTTCGTGGACATCCTGCAACCAAGCCTGGGGGTGAGCGAGATGTTGACTACCTCACCTGGTATACAGCAAGACGTCGTGTGTTCCACCACCATCATCATCACGGTGGCTAGGAGATGTTGACTACCTCGCCTGGTATACAGCAGGAGGTTGTGGGTTCCACCATCATCATCATCACGGTGGCTAGGAGATGTTGACTACCTCGCCTGGTATACAGCAGGAGGTCGTGGGTTCCACCACCAACATCATCATCACGGTGGCTAGGAGATGTTGACTACCTCACCTGGTATACAGCAGGTCGTGGGTTCCACCACCACCATCATCATCATCACGGTGGCTAGGTGATGTTAACTACCTCGCCTGGTATACAGCAGGAGGTCGTGGGTTCCACCACCACCATCATCATCACGGTGGCTAGGAGATGTTAACGTCTGAGCCTGGCAGTGATTAGGAAGCTTGGGGAATATTCAAATCTGTGCGAGGGGCTTAACGCTGCTCAAACGATGAGGATCTGCGAGATTACCTCATCCGATTTCAAAAGAGCGGATCACCTGTCAGACACACACACAGACATCACACACACACACAAGACACACACAGACATCACACACACACACAAGACACACACAGACATCACACACACAAGACACACACACAGACATCACACACACACACACATCACACAAGACACACACAGACATCACACACACACAGACACACACAAGACACACACAGACATCACACGCACACAGCCATCACACACACACACAAGACACACACAGACATCACAAACACACAAGACACACACACACAAGACACACACACAGACATCACACACACAGACATCACACACACAAGACACACACACACACAGACATCACACAAGACACACACACATCACACACACATCATACACACAGACATCACACACACACAGACACACACAAGACACACACAGACATCACATACACACAGCCATCACACACACACAAGACACACACAGCCATCACACACACACACATCACACACACACAGACACACACAAGACACACACAGACATCACACACACACAGCCATCACACACACACACAAGACACACACAGACATCACACACACATCACAAAAGACTCACACAGACATCACACACACATCACACACACAAGACACACACAGACATCACACGCACACAGCCATCACACACACACACACACAAGACACACACAGACATCACAAACACACAAGACACACACAGACATCACACACACAGACATCACACACACAGACATCACACACACAGACATCACACAAGACACACACAGACATCACACACACATCATACACACAGACATCACACACACACAGACACACACAAGACACACACAGACATCACATACACACAGCCATCACACACACACAAGACACACACAGACATCACACACACATCACACACACACAGACACACACAAGACACACACAGACATCACACACACACAGCCATCACACACACACACGCACAAGACACACACAGACATCACACACACATCACACACACACAGACACACATAAGACACACACAGACATCACACACACACAGCCATCACACACACACACAAGACACACACAGACATCACACACACAACACACACACAAGACACACACAGACATCACACACACAAAGACATCACACACACACGACACACACAGACATCACACACAGACATCACACACACACACACAGACATCACACACACACGACACACACACAGACATCACACACACACAGACATCACACACACATCACACAAGACACACACAGACATCACACACACAGACACACACAAGACACACACAGACATCACACACACACAGCCATCACACACACACACAATACACACACAGCCATCACACACACACACACAAAAGACTCACACAGACATCACACACACATCACACACACAAGACACACACAGACATCACACGCACACAGCCATCACACACACAAGACACACACAGACATCACAAACACACAAGACACACACACAGACATCACACACACAAGACACACAGACACACACACAGACATCACACAAGACACACACAGACATCACACACACATCATACACACAGACATCACACACACACAGACACACACAAGACACACACAGACATCACATACACACAGCCATCACACACACACAAGACACACACAGACATCACACACACACAGCCATCACACACACACACACAAGACACACATAAGACACACACAGACATCACACACACACAGCCATCACACACACACACAAGACACACACAGACATCACGCACACACAGCCATCACACACACACACACAAGACACACACACGACACACACAGACATCACACACAGACATCACACACACACACAGACATCACACACACACGACACACACACAGACATCACACACACACAGACATCACACACACATCACACAAGACACACACAGACATCACACACACAGACACACACAAGACACACACAGACATAACACACACAGCCATCACACACACACACAATACACACACAGACATCACACACACACACAAAAGACTCACACAGACATCACACACACATCACACACACAAGACACACACAGACATCACACGCACACAGCCATCACACACACAAGACACACACAGACATCACAAACACACAAGACACACACACAGACATCACACACACAGACATCACACACACAAGACACACAGACACACACACAGACATCACACAAGACACACACAGACATCACACACACATCATACACACAGACATCACACACACACAGACACACACAAGACACACACAGACATCACATACACACAGCCATCACACACACACAAGACACACACAGACATCACACACACACAGCCATCACACACACAGCCATCACACACACACAAGACACACACAGACATCACACACACAACACACACACAAGACACACACAGACATCACACATACAAAGACATCACACACACACGACACACACACAGACATCACACACAGACATCACACACACACACAGACATCACACACACACAGACATCACACACACAGACATCACACACACATCACACACACACAGACATCACACACACACAGACATCACACACACACAAGACACACACAGACATCACACACAAAGATCCCCCGTACAGCCTTAACAATCTGTAGGGGCAAGTGCTGTAAGAGAGTAGCAGCACCTATAAGGGCCGGCACTGTGGTACACAAGGGGGTGGGTGGCCAGTACCACGCCCGACCGCCTTTGTCTCCCCCAGTGGTGATGTTTACTACACACCACCACACCAGGTACTCATTTGAGGCTGAGTCGACCTAGGGGAGGCCCAGGACCGGTTCAGAGAATCGTAGCGCGGCGTAGCGCTAATCACTACACTACCGCTCCCCACATACACACACACAGACACACACACAGAGACACACACATCACACACAGAGACACACACACATCACACACAGAGACACACCCAGAGACACACACACAGAGACACACACATCACACACGGAGACACACACATCACACACAGAGACACACACAGAGACACACACACAGAGACACACACCACACACAGAGACACACACAGAGACACACACAGAGACACACACGGAGACACACACACACATCACACACAGAGACACACACCACACACAGAGACACACACACAGAGACACACACGTACACACACAGAGACACACACCACACACAGAGACACACACACGTACACACACGGACACACACGGAGACACACAGAGACATACACAGATACATACTCACATACACACAGATACACACACATACACACAGATACACATACACACACAGAGATAAATACACATACACACAGACACACAGATACACACACTATTACACTATTCAACTACAGACGAGAGACCTTCTGCAGTGATCTGTCAGTGCAGGAGCGGAGCTGCTGTGAGGCGAGGCGCTTGGAGCTCTCTGATTGGTCCAAGCGGCGACTTGGAGCCAATCAGATTTGGTTCCTCCCTAGCCACGTGACGCGGGATTTTTTTTTTCCCGCAAAATTTTTGAGGCTCCTCCTCGGCCAGGCGCCATTTTGAGAGTCGTGAGGTGCGGATTTGATTTTTTTCGGAGCAGAAATTAACGACGATGACGACCCCCCAGGGGTGCGAGATCGCCTCTCGTGAGGGAAAACATGAGGTAAAAAGTGGCCTCAAATGTCCAGCCCGTGATTCGCAGATAGTTTAAATATGCACTGTTGAATTTATGGGCAGTGTTGGGTCTATGGGGCGGTGCTGAATCTATGGGGCAGTGTTGAGTCTATGGGCAGTGCTGAGTCTATGGGGCAGTGCTGAGTCTATGGGGCAGTGTTGAGTCTATGGTGCAGTGTTGAGTCTATGGGGCAGTGTTGAGTCTATGGGCAGTGCTGAGTCTATGGGGCAGTGCTGAGTCTATGGTGCAGTGTTGAGTCTATGGGGCAGTGTTGAGTCTATGGGCAGTGCTGAGTCTATGGGGCAGTGTTGAGTCTATGGTGCAGTGCTGAGTCTATGGGGCAGTGCTGAGTCTATGGGGCAGTGCTGAGTCTATGGGGCAGTGCTGAGTATATGGGGCAGTGCTGAGTCTATGGGGCAGTGCTGAGTCTATGGGACAGTGCTGAGTCTATGGGCAGTGCTGAGTCTATGGGGCAGTGCTGAGTTTATGGTGCAGTGTTGAGTCTATGGGCAGTGTTGAGTCTATGGTGCAGTGCTGAGTCTATGGGACAGTGCTGAGTCTATGGGGCAGTGCTGAGTCTATGGCACAGTGTTGAGTCTATGGGACAGTGCTGAGTCTATGGGGCAGTGCTGAGGCTATGGTCATTGACAAAATACAAACGATTTAATTTGTGAATAGTTTACCTCGTGAGGGGCATAAGATGTGCCAGTATTCGTCGAGATGACTGTTTTCTTTACACCCCGCGAGTAATTTATTGCTTAAAGGAGACATCGTGGAGGGAAACA